ATTATATACTCGTTTTTGGTCTGGCTTCTTTCATTTAGCATAATTATTTTGAGCTTCAATTATATTGTGTGTATCAAGTTTCTTTTTATTGCTGGGTAGCATCCCCTTACATGGATGTATTACAATTTGTTTATCCACTTATATGTTGATGGACATTTGGCTTATTTCCAGGTTTTGCTTCTACAAATCAAACTTTTGTGAACACTTGTGTACATGCATTTGTATGCACACATATATCCTTTATTCTTGGATGAACACATAAGTGGAATGTCTGGATCAAACTAGAATGTTGTTTGCCAAAATGGTTTTACCGCTTCACATTCTCACTAGCAGTGTATGAGAGTTCATTTTTCCACATCCTTGTCAACACTGTCAACACTTCAGATGGTCAGTCTTTTTAATTTTAGCAATTCTAATGGGGATGTAGTGGTATCTTACTGTCATTTTAATCAGGTTTTCCCTAGTGATTAATGATGTTGGTCATCTTTTCATCAGAGGCTTATTTGCCTTCAGTATATCTTCTTTGGTAAAGCGTCTGTTCAAAAGTTCCTCTACTCTTGGCCATACTTGTCAGAGAGGGGTTTGTAACCCTGATGTCCGAAATTTCTTTCCCTCCCTTTGAGCTGAAGGTCAATATTGGTCAAACAAGGATTTCTAAAAATGCGAACAACAAACCCAGTCTCCTTTTTCTAGAGAAAAGGAAGCTTATTGGTTTTGAATAAAATAATACAGTACAAGATCAAAGCATTAATTGTGTGTGGCATGAGTTTTTCCCATCCAGAGAAGAACTCTGCTGGCTGTTCTCTACCCTGGGGTCTCCTCTGCTGTGGGGCGAAATGATTGCTTGCCTTTCTTTGTAGTGCGGCTTCCTTTGGTGTAGCAAAGAAAAAAAAAAAAGACGGGTTTTTAGGACAGATGTTTTGTTTGATTCTGCCGCTCTGAGGCAAACTACTTCAAAGTCCCGTTTATATCTGGATTTTGGGATGATGAAAAAAGTCTACTATTACCTCTTCTGTTGCTTTCTGTTACACGTTTATTTATTAAATGAGCGGAAAAGTTCACAGCTGGTTAGAATCATAGATGTGCATCTGTTCCTGTTCTTCTAATGCTACAGAGAGCTCTGAGATGAGTGAAAGATAACAAGACCAGCAGTGGATTGAGCACCATTTATTAGAAATGTTATCCTTTCGGGCGCCTGGGTGGCTCAGTCGGTTAAGCGACTGCCTTCGGCTCAGGTCATGATCCCGGAGTCCCGGGATCGAGTCCCGCATCGGGCTCCCTGCTCAGTGGGGGGTCTGCTTCTCCTCTGACCCTCCCCCTTCTCATGCTCTAGCTCATTCTCTCTCTCAAATAAATAAATAAAATCTTAAAAAAAAAAAAAAAGAAATGTTATCCTTTCTCCACTGCAATACGGTGCTACTTTTGTCTTATCAGTTGTCCAGGTTTGTGAGAGTCACCCTTCTGCTCCACCCTATTTGCCTATCTTTGCCCCAATACCAAGCTATCATAATTACTATAGTTTTGTAATAGTTCTTGATATATCTGGTAGTGTGAGTCTTCTGGTTTTGTTTTTCCTTTTTTTTTTTTTTAAGATTTTATTTATTTATTTGAGGGAGAGCACAAGCAGGGGGAGCAGCAGAGGGAGAGGGACAAGCAGACTCTGAGCAGGGAGCCCAACACCGGGCTCGATCCCAGGACCCTGAGATCATGACCTGATGCTTAACTGACTGAGCCACCCAGGTGCCTCTCTGGTTTTGTTTTTCTTTACATTGCCTCAACTGTTCTTTAGTTGATTTTTATAGAATTAAAAAGAATAATGTTGCATTTTCAGGGGTGAATAAAAATATCCTGCACCCAAAGCTCTAAGAAGTGCTGTCCCCCAAATCTTTTGTTTCATAAATACCTAAACAACATTTATGAAAACTATGTATACATCCCCTTCATTGGTTTATGTAGGGAGAGGAAAGGAGCTATATTAGATTTTGATTAAGGGCCCATTTATATTAGTTACTGGTTGGATTATTCCAGGGACTTTAGAGTCTCTCCCTGGGTTTGTAATATGATAAAGGGCAAGGCCCTCATATAAATCCCTTTTCAGAGCAATTAACCACTAAGTAAAGGCTCAGTAAACACATTTAAACTAAATGTAATGCAAATCCATCAAAGGAGGTACAGAATCTGCATCCTCACAGTGAAGAGTCCTGCCAGTGGGGATAGGAATCCAAGTGGGGATAGGATTTGCGGTGGTCATGTAAGGGGGACCACTCTGAGAAGACACAGGGATGGGGAAGAGTATTAGTTTTTTTTCTTTTTCTTTTTTTTAAATATTTTATTGATTTATTTGAGAGAGAGTGAGAGCGAGAGAGATCACAGAGGGAGAGGGAGAAGCAGGCTCCCCGCTGAGCGGGGAGCCCAATGCGGGGATCCCCAAGATCACGATCAGAGCCGAAGGCAGATGCTTAAAGGACCAAGCCACCCAGGCTTCCCAGTTTTTTTTTCTTGTGTCATAAACCACCCCAAAACTCAGTGGCTTTTAACAGTATTTTCTTTCCTGCTCCTGGGTCTGGTGGGTTTTTGGTCGAGTGGAGGGGGGAAGGAACTCTACTTTAGGAGCCAGGATTCGGACTGGGTTCAAGTGTGTTCCACATGTTTCATTCTGAGGCCCAGGTTGGGGGGAGGGGGTTGGGGACGGTGAGTACCTGAGGCGTGCTCTTGCCTGGCAATCATGGGAGCACAGGAGGCCAAATGAAACCATGCAGTCACATTTTTAATTTCCTATTTGTGTCACATCTGTTGGCAAAGCAAACCACACGTCCAAGTTCAACATCCATGTGTAGTGCTCAACATTCGTTTCGTTGTAGTGCTCTGAAGATCACGTGACGGAGGGAGGGGTAAGGAGTAGGGAATAATAACTCACTCTAGCATGGGAAGGGACAGGGTTTTTGGATGGTTGTGAGAACCCACCTTGCTGCCTCCTGGAATGTGGAGATACAGGGAACTTCCTCCAGAAAAACTGGGGGAGAATTAGCCCTGATAAAGAGCTGTGTGATCCTCGTACCAGAATACAAGCTGGCCTCTCTTTATTTCCTTGTCACTTTACCCACCTGTACCTCCACTGCTTTCTTCTCCTACCTGGGAACCTTCAGCTGGAGCTAAGCCATGGGGACGGCAACCAGCCAAGGAGAGGGATCCGGGCAGCTGCCGGAACAGCAAGACAGGATTGTGGCTATCAGCGTCCTTCTATAACACACAGAGTGTGCTCAGAGCAGATCTGGTCTCCGAAGTGACGCTGTCAACTGTTCAAAGGTATTGTATCAGGAGGTTAAAGGGGAGGCTTTTTTGGTTTAGGTTCAGCTGAGGCTTCAAAACAACAGAGATCACATTTCAAAATGAAATGTAAGACCACAAGTATTAGGAAAGGAAATTGTGGGGAATATGTGTTGCATCTTTAGTTGATCTTTCGCCCTCAGTCTATAAAAGATGTTGGAGATGCCAAGAAAAGAGCTGGAGAGAGAGGGGAGAATTCCCAGGACAGTTGGTGTGCTCTCATTACCTGAGGGTGACCAGAAAAGTCATGGTACTCGCCTGAGTTTTTAATACAGAGTCAGGAGAAGAACCTACCCCACAGAATAAGTTTAAAGGGATGGTGGGGCACAAAAATACTGTTATCTGGAAACATTTACACCATAGGAATGTGATTATGATTTAATTTACTAAATGAAGTATTCATTACTGTGGCAGAAACTACTAGTTGTCCATCCAAATCCATTTGCCCCTTTTCCCGTAATACTAGCATTTGTACCAGGACCCAGGGTGCCCAGCTGGTACCGTATCTCCCAGGCCCCCTTGCAGCTGGGAATGGCTTGTGATTAAATTCTGTCTCTGGAGTAGAAATGGAAGTGGTATGTGCCTCTTCCAGGCCTGGACCTTAAAACATTGCATGTGTGTTTCTCCAAACTTACTCCCCTTCCTGCAATTAATTAATTAATTAATTTTTAAAGATTTTATTTATTTACTTGAGAGAGAGAGAAATCACGAGCAGAGGGAGGGGCAGAGGGAGAAGCAGACTCCCTGCTGAGCAGGGAACCCGACGCGGGGCTCGACCCCAGGACCCTGGGATCGTGACCTGAGCCGAAGGCAGACGCTTAACCGACTGAGCCATCCAGGCGCCTTCCATTCCTGCAATTTAGAGCAGGGAGTGCCTCCAATCTAGCATTGTCCATGTAGGACAATACCCTAGGGCAGTGCTTCTCTATCTCTTTTTTAATGCATGAGAATCACCTGGAGAGCCCATTAAAACAGAGATTAAAACAAGGATTCAGTAGGTCTGCAGTGGGCCCAAGAATTTGCATTTCTAACAAGTATCCAGATGTTGCTGGTGCTCCTGTCTGTGGACCACACTCTGAGTAGCACGGCTTTGGAGGATGGTGGAGATGCACGATGGAAAGAATCTGAATTTCTGAATGTCTGTGTGGGACAAAGGAGCCTGTCTACCCACCATGGACTGCTTTGTGAGAACACCATATTTTGGGGACTCTGTTATAGCAGCTTAGTCATTTACCCCAGCCAACATAATCATCCTGATATTCGGCCAGTCCTTCTCTACGTCTAAACCAAAACTCTCCCACAATTTTCTTCTTCTTTTTCATCTTGAACTCTCCTTCCTGGTGATGGAGAATAACATTAGTCACCTCTATAAATGAATTTCATAAGAGCTCACATCTAGAATGCTGTATTCAACTGTCAATTTTAGCCTCAAGCAGTTCTCAGTAAAGGATTTTCCTTAACTATCTTTCCAGAGGAGATAGGGGGAACTTCAGCCATGAGCTTGGAGAGAACAGGACCTCCAGCTGTCTACAGCGGGTATCAAGTCTCCATTATAACCCAGCCCTTAAACATGATACTTGAGACAGTTGAAAGTGAGTAACTTTTATTTTGGAGGCAGTGAGCAGGGGAATTTCAGAGCTTCCAAGAACCTTGAAGAATTACCCTGCCTTCTGGGCCACCTTCTCCAGGAGCCATACTCAGTGACCGTCTCACAGGTTACAGTCAGCCAGGTATTTGGACAAATCCCTGCCCTTGCAGTGTTTTACCCAGGCCCGCCTATGAATAGAGAAACACAGCATAAATCAGAGGCAGAGGCAGGAGTCTATAGGGGCTCAGCTGAGAGGGAATGCAGGGTCTGCAGGCTGGAGTCAGTTTATGCTGTGGGAGAGTCTCAGATAGGGACGGTTTGCCCGTCTGAGAACCCGTGAGACGGTGCTGCAGGCATGCCCCGGGTGAGCGCATTACAGTATTACTCTGCCTCTGTTCATGTCGGGAGAACAGTCTCCACTCCGTACAAAGCCCAGGGAGAATCCTACAGCAGAGATGCTGCTGATTCTATCAGCATCCCAAATACTGTCAGGGTCCATGCCTGGCAGAATGGCTGGTCTCTGCCCTTCATGCTCTGCTTACCCGGCGAACATCCTCTTAGGATCTCTCACAGCCCTCTTGGCACACCTGATGTCATCATTGATGTTGTCATCCAGAAACTCTGAAAGGAAAAGGGGCTGAGTGGGGAGGGAAAAATCCCTTTTCCTGTTTCATTGATCAATACTTTTTTGAGGGGAATTTCCAGAGGAAACTAAGCCTGAATCAGAAACCCTCTCTCGCTGGAGCCCTTTTGTGGGTTTGCCTTCCATTTGCCTGGATTTTCCTGCCTTGCTTTGAATCTGCCTCTGAGCATTGTTCTCCCCGGAGGGCATCCAGGACCGGAGGGACCAGGGAGAGCCTCTGTCTTCAGGAGACGTGCTGCGTGGGGGTGTGTGGGCTGGTGATGCGGCTGTGTGTGGACGAGGAGAGGGATAACATGGCTTGAGGGATGGGGACCCATGAAGGCGAGGCTTAGTCAGGGGTCGGTGTATCTTGCTTCCTCCGATTTTGGATGTGAGGACTGTCTGGGGCCCCTTGATCCCCCGTCCTGGGCTTCGCCAGCACAGGCCGAGGGCCAGGTGTCAGGGAGTGCCTGTTTTATGTGCCCCACCTGCCCCAGCCCGCAGAGGGGACCGAGTCCTTACTGCTGCACGTTGTGCTGCAGGCGTTTGCTGAGGGCTGGTTGCTGTTTGGCACCACCATTGGCTGTTCAGCTGGAAGAGCCCGTAGGCAATATTGCCATCAGCGTTTTTCCTATTAATGGCCCGGGTGTTGAAGTGACTCTCATACTGAGCCATGCAGACCCCTGTGTCAGGGAGAGCAAAAGGTGTGGGTCAAAAAGGGGGATTGTTTCACGACGAGACCAAACTCCTGCTACACCAGAACCGCCAGAAAGTCCCTTGAGACTGAAACGAGAAGACTATGAGATCCTCAGTGTTAGGTTTGTATTTATAATCCATTGTGTGTTCCTAGTCCCAAGCAATAATCAGCCCATGGTAAGTATGTAATCACAATTTGTTAAATAAATGCGTTTGGAAAGGCCAATAATCCATCGATTGCCGTCTGTCTCCCGGTCTACCTTCCCAGCCTCATCTCCCAGCCGAATAGCCAACTCTTGCCTTGTATATTCACGTTGGCTTATATCCCAAAGTATATGGAAGGGAAGAGGTGGAGAAATAATCGAGGAGGATCTTAGAAAGGAAGCCCTACAAAGCCATCCTTGCGGGGGGGCGGGGGTGACGAGAAAGAGTATATTTGGCGTGAAGAAAAATGAAGATATTCAAGGGAAATTGAAATAGCTTCATGTATTCTTACTAATGAGGCGGGTGACAGATTCTCAGTCCTTCTTGCACCTTGTCACTCACTGCCTCCCCTTCTGTTCTCACAGTCCCCATCCAACTCCCTTGTGACATGGATAGAACAAACTTTAGACAAATGCAGCAGATGTAGGTTGTTTTTTGGTGGACAGAAGGGCAGGGGAGAGGGTGGGAGGCAACACCAACTGTGCTGCAGAGACTAAAAAGGATGCAGATGAAAGCAAAGGTGATGGGAGCAAGATGGAGAGATGTTGGGTGAGTCTCGGGGTGTTTCCGAGGAAGTATTCCAGGCCACTGGGTGGGAAGGTGATTTGGGGGAACAGCAGGAGAAAATTTATTATAGATAAAATATTCCCTGGTGGAAAGAGAGAAAAGAAGATCCTGATAGGAATATAAGGCAGTGGAGGCAGAGATAAGAAGAGCAGTCTGGGAGTGGAAGAGAACCCTGACAAATGAGTAAATCAGCAAGTGAAAAGGGAGAGATTGCTTGGCTGGGGAAGAAGGTCTGTTTGGGCAGAGACAGAAAGAACGTTCTCGCTCACAGTTTGCCAGGCTGTAGCCATGCTAGCCGTCCAGTCCCTTGGTCTTCAGTTCGTGGGCCAGCTCACCCTTGGAGAAGATTTTGGCCTCATATGCTGCACAGAAGCAGCTGAGGAGGCTGATGATCAGAATAGACCTTATTTCTGTAGCTGGTGGGACCCGAGTCTGCTATGTCCAGATGCTGTTTTCTCTTATACCCTCCGGCACACAGGGATCTCTGATTGGGCAATCATGCTGGCATCTATGCCAGGAAGGACATGGCTGTCCAAGGCTAGTTCCCCAAACTGGTCCAGTCTGTTCCCCTTTGGGGAAGGGAATGTAACCAAGAATAATACCAGGAATAAAGTCTCATTTTGGTGGGGGTGGGTTCTGGATTTGGGCAAATGCGCGGAGGAGGGGAATGGGGGAGAGAAGGGAGTTGGTAAGAGAGAGAAGCATGATTTTCAAACTTTGTACTTTTGTTGGAATGTCTCCAGCGGGGGTTGTCCCTGTGTGCTTTGCTGAACTTTGGCTTATTATCTGTGCTTGGCTGAAGGTATTTTACTACTCGGTCTAGTGGGGGACCCATGATGAGCATCACTGAGTTTGGAGAAATTGAGGATCTTCGGGCATCTGCAATCAGTAAACCATTGGTTGAATAGGAGACCACTAGAGCCTAAGTTCATAATATCTCTGTGTCTGCAAGAAGTCATCAGATCTAAAACCCCAATTATACTGAATTCTCTCTAATATCTGTGTGATCAGTGATCATCAAACATCTTGAATTAGTCAGGGTTCTCCAGAGAAACAGAACTAACAGGGGATATATATGGTTAGAAAAAGTTGGTAATTATTAGAGCACAAGGTCTTGATTTCAGTTCGGTGGATAGGCACTGTGAAGGAAGAGTTATCACTAGATCAATACTTTCTAAGAAGACACACAAGAGTAATAATAGAGGTAGTGCTAGAAGGGGGTTTCTGTAGGTCTTAAAGTAACCGGCAAGCCTTTGCTGTTAAAGGGCATTATATGATGTTGACTTGGAGACATAAAGGAATGGATACTAGGCATAACTTATTTACAATATTCACTCAGGGTAGCTAATTGGTCTGGCTATCCATCTACTCAGGCTGTCACTGATTAGATTAATTCCATGTCTATGTTCAGAGGCATTCAGGAGCCAAGTCATGTTAAGGGGGTTGATCTTTAAAGACACCTATGAGAATATGCATTTGGATTAGTTTTGTTTTTTGTTTTTTTTTCCAGGCAAGTGGACAGAAAGATAATAAGGTAAGATAATGGAAGATTTTGGCAAAAGTGGTGTATATTTTGGACTATGGAGTCTTATCTGGGTAAGGAAGGAAAGGAAGATAGAAGGAGATTATTACATAGAGATACAGTAGAAGTGGCTGTCAGTGGACTGAATGTTTCATTGGAATCCAAATAGGAGTACTGGGAGCAAGTGAACAAGTGATCTGAAAGAATAAGAGGTTGGTGAGAGAAGTGCATACCTGAGTTTGTGGTTTTAGAGGTGAAGCAGTTCTGAGTGATGGCAAGATCCAGGATGGGCCCGTAAGGATGGGTAACTGATGGGGGATCAGAGGAGATGCTTCTTGGGTTGGGGAGGCGAGGCATTGGACAGGACACTCATATGGATGTCTGAATCACTCAGAATAGGAGATCTTGAGATGGAGAGAAATTCTATGAAATGTCAGTGTTCTCAAGGAATGGGGGAGAATAACCCAAGGGAGGTGGTAGGTGTATGGCCAGAATACATAAGCCTCAAAGAAATAGGAGACTTTAAAGAAGGAGGGGTTCGTGATGGTCTCAAAGTGCCAGGAGTGAGATTGATTACTTCTAGATTCAGATACACCTGGGTTGGGGAGAATAAATAGCCTCTACTTAAAGCGATTATTAGAGAGGTGGTGAGGATTCTGAATTTGTGGGTATTATTTCTATTTGGTTTTCATCTATGTAGGTTTTCATGTCTTCATTACACATGTATGCACCAACAAACAATAGATGTATTGTTTTGTGTGGTTTTAAACTTCAAACAAATGGCTGAATAATGTGCATATTTTTCTGCACCTTGCATTTTTCATTCAACTTGTTTTCGAGGTTTATTCATGCTGATACTTGCTGTTGTTGTTATTCACATTAGCTACTCTACAGTATTTCATTGTATTGCCACTGTTTTGTAGTGATTCTTCTGTTGATGAATATTTAGACTGTTTCCAATTTTTGTTATTCGAAAATGCTGAATGTAATTGTATGTACCTTCTTCTTTATCTATAATATCCTGCAGTTTCACTTTGGTGTGTCCAAGTGTGGATTTGTATTTTCTTTATTTTGTTTGGTATTTTAAATATATTCTAATGAGAATTTATATCTCTTTTCAATTCTGGAAAATTCTCACCATCTGTTCAAGTTACTCTTCCCCTCAGTTTCTCCATTCTGTTTTTCCTGGAACTCCTATCAGCAAATGTTGGAGCTTTTCCATTTAAACTCTAGACCTTTGTACTATCTTTGGTATTTTTATCTCTTTGCCTCTCTGTGCTATACTCTGGGTGAAATATTCAACATTATCTTGCAGTTCACGAATTCTCTCTTCACCTCTGTTAAGTCTAGAGTTTATTCCATTTATTGAGTCTTCAAATATTTCAATGACTATATTTTTCATTTCCAATTTTCCAATTTATTCTTTTACATATCTATCTGTGCTTTTTTTTTTAAGATTTTTTTTTTTAAAGATTTTATTTATTTATTTGACAGA